TAAAAATATTCGCGGATTAATGGAAAATTTGGCTTTTATTTATCACAAAAGTTGTTGCCTATTTCACCCACTATATATTACCAGATGACCATCAAAATTGGAAGGCTTCTACCCAGCCCATTCGATTGGTCTAAAATTGTGACCTGTAGTGCAACTGCAAAATCAGGAAATTTTTCAGTTTTTGGTCCATTTCAACCCCTAAATATTATGCGATCATCTCCAAAAGAAATAGGGTTCTATTCTGACCTTAACCCCACCTACATTTTAAATTTCGTGAAAATCGGGCCATAATTGCAACTTGTAGAGTGATTATAAATTAACATGGACAGACGGACGGACGGTCATACATAGCTAGATCGATTCAGCTCGGCGAGATAGGAAGATCCGTATATACTTTCCTATGTGGGAAATCAATATTTCGTGGTGTTACATAATTTTTGGCCCAATCAAACTTATAATACTCCCAAAACATAGTGTTGAAGGGTATAAAAAGGTATTGAATACCTTAATTTGTTTACTTGGAAACTGTTTCTGCGCCTTTGATTTTTATACCCTACACCACATAGTGGTAAATGTATTGTCTTTGTTCATTTGTTTGTAACAGTGAGAAGGAAGCGAGATGGACCCATAAATACTTTTGAGAATCTTCATAGAATCACTTTCTGAGTCGATATATGCATGTCAGTCCGTCCGTCTGTATCCTTGTGAAAAAAATGAAGGTCGCATTTATTATCCGACTGAGATGAAATTTTACAAACAATACTTGCTTGTCTCAAAAACTAACCCTAGTAAAATTGAGAATTTAGAATATAATCAAATGTAGATATAGCTCCCGTATATATCTTCAACTGGTTTCGGGTTAATTGTGCACCAAATTAACCACCATATACATGCTCCCATGTATATTTATCCGATTTCAGGTTTTTGTGTACCAAATGGCTAATATCAGTCCAAATGGACTAATTTTGTCACTTCCGAAGGAAGCAAGTGCATCAAATTATGGTGACAATCGGTTCAGGTATAACTATAGCCCCCATATATATATATTTCATCCGATATTGCTTCCCGATTTGGTATGGACCCTATATAATGTTTCCACCCATTTTATTTTATTTTGAAAACTTTAACTGCATTTGTCAACAAATCTCGCTAGTTTAAAGTGGAATACGTTTAAATCCATATTTTTTTTAAAAAAAATGTTTTTGGAGGTGGAGGGATTTGTTTTATTTAATTCCCAATTCTATCTCTACGTAATATATTTGCGTTGCGTTCTGGATTTTAAAATAATGCGAAATTTTTAATATATATATTTTTTTATTTTCTAGTTTTTTTCTGATCACTTATTTTTGAAACAATTCTGCATAAATATTGTCTAAAAAAGTCAATGAACCAATTAATTGCCTTTCACTGCAAACATTTTTGACTTAATAGATTATTCAAGTTTTCAAACGTGGATACGACATTAAGACTAGAAAAAACTAATGCGAACATCTTAGATTAAACAAAGCTTGCTGACATCAACTTTAAACCAGAACAGGCATGCAGAGTCGAGTTTTTTTTAGATTTGACTATTTTAATACCCTACGCCATACTGTTGTACAGGGTATTAAGTCTTTGTTGTCGGGCCACGATATACCACACCCAAGTGGTCAGGGTATTATGTCTTTGTGCATTTGTTTGTAACAGAAAACGAGATAGACCCATAGTTCCTTTTGATAATCTGCATAGAATCACATTCTGAGTCGATATATGCATGTCCGTCCGTCTGTCCATGTATTTTTGTAAACAAAGGTGAAAAAATATTACAAAATATTATAAGTCAAATTGAAAAAATCGCATGCGATAAAAAATATGAAAAAATAAAAAAATGACACAAAAAAATACAAAATCTATATTAACATCATTAATTGTATCTTTTTATCCGATTTTTTTAGATTTTATTCTTTTATGTCAAGAGGGCATTCTGAATTTACGAAATTTGTCAAAATCGGTCCAGCCATTCTTGAGATATAAGCATTCTAACTAACATCCCCTTCTTTTGTATATACACATTGTATATATTTCGCTCTATATATACGATATATTTACTATCGACATCTACGTAACGGTCAGAATTTATCTGTTCGTCTATTTGTGATTTCGCCGGTAGTAAAAATATTCGCAGTTTAATGGAAAATTTGAATTTTATTTGACACAAATGTTGTGGCCTATTTCACCCACTAAATATTACCCGATGACCATCAAAATTGGAAGGCTTCTGTCCAGCCCTATGCTCTAGCCCTATGCTAACTTCCGCTTTGATTGGTCTATAATTGCGACCTGTAGAGCAACTGCAGTTTTTGGTCCATTTTAACCCCTAAATATTATGCGATTATCTCCAAAGAAATAGGGTTCTATTCTGACCCTAGCCCCACCTCCATTCTAAATTTCGTGAAGATCGGGCCATAATTGCGACCTGTAGAGTGATTACAAATTAATATGGACAGACGGACGGACGGACATACATAACTAGATCGACTCAGCTTGGCGAGATAGGAAGATCCATATATACTTTCCTATGTGGGAAACCAATATTTTGTGGTGTTACATAAATTTTGGCACAATCAAACATATAATACCGCCAACACATAGTGTTGTAGGGTATAAAAACCAGTAAGGAAATGCCCAATTTGGGCTGATATTACAAATATGGTGCACAAAAACAGTAAAATCTGATGTAGAAGGTATATAAAAATCTTAATCGATCTCGATAAAATTTTTTGCAGAGGTATTTACGAGCTGCATCTGATGTCTGGTATTAAATTTCATTGTTGAAGAGTGTATATTACGAATGTAAGGACTTTAATACCAATTCGGATGAATCATATATATGGGAGCTATAGATATATCTGATCAATATTCACCAATTTTGAAGTACTTGTTTCTTGGATGAATTCTGTTGGAAATGCCAAAATGCAGTCCATTTATACTAATATTAGCCATAAAAAAAATAAAATCGGATAATGACATATATTGGAGCTATATCCAAATCTGAACCGATCTTGATAAAATTTTTAAAATCGTCAGGCTTAATCCCATTATTGTTGTTTTTATAAAACAACATTTGTTTATTAGTGGAGAACGATGGTAATGTTTACCAGGGGGTAACGCAGGGAATACCTAATAAACAAATGTTGTTTTATAAAAACAACAATAATGGGATTAAGCCTGACGATTTTTGCAACAACAAAATACTACGGTATCCCAAACAAACATGCCAACACTGTTCTAATTATTGACAAGGCACCGTCGACGAAAGGGTTTTTGTTGTAACAGACAAAACCAACTTACATTGTTATGTTTTTTTCGTTGAGGTAAAACGAAAGCATAACAAGTGGAGAAAGATGTAAATGTTTATAAGTGCGGTTGTAAGATTTAGAAGATTTTCCAAAAGACAAAAAGAATTGCAGACAAAAAGAATTTTTGAGTTTTGCCTTGTTAAGGCGAAGATCATATGTTTTATGATTTAAGTGTTTGTTTTCTCTTTCGAGACGAGCTTAATGATCTGAAATTTGCAGTGAAAAGGAAAGCCAGATAGACACTATCACACACTCACCACTATGCGACGCGTTTCGCCATTGGTTAAGCGGCTCATCAGGCATATTTGGTGTGGATGATGGCTTACAAGGGCCGTTCTCTGGAAAGTAGTATATATTTCGAACTTATTGCAAATTAGCATATGCGAATTATACACTAGAAACTCTCCAGGTTCGACTCAAGTTCTATTGGCAGATCTTTTTCACAGCAACGTTTTGTTTTTGTAGTGATGGATTTTTTGTCCACAACAACTACATTGCTTCCAATGCATACACTTGTTTTAGTGCTGCTTTTAGGAAGACTGGTTAATGGCTCTGAACGTAGAGACGGCAACTTCTAGTTGGCTGCACACAGAGGTCCGCGGTTCAAATCCCACAGCCAGGCTCGGCTGAATTTTTGAGTTTTGCCTTGTTAAGGCGAAGATCATATGTTTTATGATTTAAGTGTTTGTTTTCTCTTTCGAGCTTAATGATCTGAAATTTGCAGTAAAAACTTTGCTGTGAAATAGATCTGCTAATAGAACTTGAGTCGAACTTGGAGAGTTTCTAGTGCTTAATTCGCCTATACTAAATCGCAATAAGTTCGAAATAAATACTACTTTCCAGAGAACGGTCCTTGTAAGCCATCATCCACACCAAATATGCCTGATGAGCCGCCTAACCAATGGCGAAAGGCGTCGCATAGTGGTGAGTGTGTGATAGTGTCTATCTGGCTTTCCTTTTCACTGCAAATTTCAGATCATTAAGCTCGTCTCGAAAGAGAAAACAAACACTTAAAAAGAATTTTAGTTTTATATAATTCTTTGGTTCCTCTTCTATTGAGCTTACGATCTCGTCACTTGGGTAAAAAAGTTTTTTGTCATAGAAGTTATTTTTTAAAATAACTTCTGGGGAGAATATCCCAGACAAAAAAACAAGGGAACTGATGAGGATTGGTGGCTCTTTCCGAAACCTAGGTATTCCCTGCCTTACCCCCTGGTAAACATTACCATCGTTCTCCACTAATAAACAAATGTTGTTTTATAAAAACAACAATAATGGGATTAAGCCTGACGATTTTTGCAACAACAAAGTACTACGGTATCCCAAACAAGCATTCCAACACTGTTCTTTTTAACGATAATTTCTCAAATATGTCTGATATCTGCTACTAAATATTATTGTTGTGGAGTGCATATCACGCATGTGAGGGACTTAAAACCTCAAATCGGATGAAACATATATATGGGAGCTATAGATATATCTGAACAATTTTCACCAAATTTGAAGTACTTGTTTCTAGGATCATCAACGACATTCCTTCTGCTCTCATTTAATGTAATTTAATAACTTATTGAAAATAAAACAATTTATTGACCTTGAATTTATCGAACAGAGCTTAAAACTAAATTGTTTATTTAATTAATCAATTAAACAACTTGCGTGTGTTCGTGAACAGAATGAAAAGAATTCAATTCAATTTTAAATACAAAAAAAAATCAATTTTCACATTTCTGTTCTCATTCTACAAAGTGTACAAAATCCGTCGCATAAAATACATAAATGACATAAACATTTCAACGATGCGTCTGATAAGACGCCCCAATAATTCTCATGCCGTCTGTATGACATTCGATGGTGTTGTTGAACTGAAATCTATCGATTGATCAGAGATGGTGGAGGCATCGGCAACTTGGTCACTGCCATTTTCATTGCTTCCATTGACATCGGGGCAGTCGGTCTGGGTTGATTTTATCATAAACTCTTCGGACAAATTATTATCTTTAATGACTTGTTTGGCGGCTTGAATGGCCTCATCGCTGGGTTGACGTTGACGACTCAAAATCCAAATGATTTCTGAAATTAAGGGAAGAAGGGAAATAGATTAGATTGCATATGTGGAGAAAAAACACACATTAAGGGACGGGGAAGGCAATTAGTTATAATTTCTCATAATTTGTATCACTCAGAATGACCACAATATCTTCACTGTAATTAATTATAAAAGCGTAAAAATAATTACATGTATTTTGATATGACTTACGTGTCTGAGGTGTGTGTGTGTATGTGTGAGACTATTTCTAATTGTTTTTGCATTTTGCATAATTAATTAGTTTTATGTGCATTTGTAAAAAGTGTTGTGTTCATAGAAACTGGTTTGGGCATTGACAGAGAATATCAGATTGTAAATTGAAGTTGTATTTTATAGAAACATAATAACCTCCACCATTCTATGAAGGGTATATTAACTTTGTCACTCCGTTTGTAACTCGTAATAATTCGTAATAGACCCTACAAAGAATTTATATGCTGGATCAGCGTAAAATTCTTAGACGATTTAGCGATATCCGTCTGTCTGTCTGTAGTAATCACCCTATCTTTCGAACAAATTGACATCGAAGGCTGAAATTTTGCAAACATGCATAGTTTACCAATAGGCAGGTTAAGTTAAATGGGCCATTTCGGTCCAGGTTTTCGTACAGCCTCCATATAACGGTAGTCGGTATTTTGATGATTTCAGCAACATTATTCACCGGAATCGTTTCAAATTTACTATTGAAAGATACTGCAACTTATGGCAAAAAATTTGTAGTACCCATTTGCAGGTCCACGTCTTCATATGATGGTATCTCCCCATACTCCGTATTTTCATGATTTTTGCGATATTATTCAGCCTTGCGACCGAATTCAGCCTAGAAGCAAGTACTTTAAATTTGGTGAAAATAGGTTATGGTATTGGAATTTAAGTCTCTCACTTTCGTAATATGCACTCTACACCAATGATATTTGACACAAAATATCAGAAACAGCTCAGAAATAACTCTGCCCAATTTTATAGATATCGGTTTAGATTGGGTTATAGCTTCCATACATGTCTTAATATTTTCATAATAATATATATGAGCCTAAATTGTAGGATTTTTGCACATTCATTTTTTTTATGTTTGGGGAAACTCGGCTTTCATATATTTATTTCTCTATATGTATTTATATCCTACACCACAGGGTGGTCAGGGTATTCTGTCTTTGTGCATTTGTTTGTAACAGGAAAAAGAAAACGAGATAGACTCATAGTTCCTTTTGATGATCTGTATAGAATCACATTCTGAGTCGATTTATGCATGTCCGTCTGTCCGCCTGTCCATGTATTTTTGTAAACAAAGTACAGTTCGCATTTATTGCCCTATCCAAATGAAATTTTGCATCATTTGTTTGGGCCAAGGACGAACCCTATTGAAATTGGAGATAATCGGTCAAAATTTAGATATAGCTCCCATATATATCATCATCCGATTTGCTTTTATTGTGCATAAAACGTGTAATATCAGTCCGAATAGTGTGGAATTTTGCACGTACGATCAGATTGGACCTGAAAATAAGTATGCCAAATTTAATCGAAATCGGTTCAGATATAGCTATAGCTCCCATATATATTGTTCATCCGATTTTTTATTTTTGTCCTCCGCACAGATACAAATCCTTCGGCATATTAGGTCCTTTGAACTTTAAATTATAATTATAATCATAGCGTGTATGATTGAATTCTCCCATAAACACTTTTAATTGTTATAAGCAGCTCTACTAAATTAGCAAAGTGGTGTAGGGTATCATAAAGTCGGCCCGCCCGACTTGAAGACTTTCTTTACTGGTTTTATACACTCTACTGTCTATGGAGGGTATATAACTTTTGCCATTCCGTAACTCATCGATACTCATATTAGATCCAACAAAGTATAAATATTTTGGATCAGCGTAGCGAGATCCGTCTGTATGTTGAAATCACGCTATCTTTGCAACGAATTGAGATAGAATGCTAAAGTTTTGCACACATCTATGTTTTGTCAGAAGGCTATTTATCTGCCTTCCATTTACGGCCCACATTTCCATATTGATAATTTAGAGATATTTTTACCGGAATTGTTTCAAATTTCATATTTATACCCTACAACACTATATGTTGGGGGTATTATAAGTTTGATTGGGCCAGAATTTATTGGTTTCCCATATAGGAAAGTATATATAGTCGATCTAGCTATGTATGTCCGTCCGTCCGTCTGTCCGTCTGTCCATGTTAATTTGTAATCACTCTAGAGGTCGCAATTATGGCCCGATCTTCACGAAATTTAAAATGTAGGTGGGGTTAATGACAGAATAGAAGCCTATTTCTTCTGGAGATGATCGCCAAATGTTTAGGGGTTGAAATATACCAAATACTGAAAAAATGACGGATTTTGCGGTAGCTATACAGGTCGCAATTGTAGACCAATCGACGGAATTTCGCATGTAGCTAGAGTTTAGGGCGGGGAAGAAGCCTACCAATTTGGGTGGTCATCGGATAATATTTAGCGGCTAAAATAGACCATATCTTTTTTGTTGAAAAAATTCAACATTTTTCATTAAACCGCGAATATTTTAAATCCCTGCGAAATCACAAAACCATGACAAGGTTACTTCTGATCTTTACATTGATGTTAATATCCAACAAATCGAATATATAGCAAAATATGTGCGATATATATGTCTATCAAAAAAGATATGCTTGAAAGATCTATTTTATGTCGAGAACGGCTGAACTGATTTCGACAGTTCTCATTAATTCAGAATGGCCTCTTGGCAGGAAAGAAAAAACGTCTAAAAAATCGCATAAAAATATCTCTCTAAAGATGAAAATATTGATTTTGTAAATTTTTTCATATTTTTTTCAATTTTGTCATATTTTTGGCATATTTTCATTTTGAATTAAACATTTGGTAATATTTCTACAGCTAACAAAACTAAGTAGTTAGAATATCAGGATATCATATACAGATCGCATTTATGGCCCGATCCTTACGAAATTTTGCATGGGGATAAAATGAGGGTCAGAATAGAAGCCTACTCTTTTTGGAGATGTTCGCCATATATTAAGGGGTTGAAATGGACCAAAAACTGCAAAATTTTCAGCAGGTCCTAATTATCGCCCGGTCCTCACGCACATTTGAATGGGGGTTACTGGACATTGCAAAAGCCAAGCAGTTTTGGATGGCCATCCAAAAATATTCAATGTGTGAAGGAGTTTGTAGACAAAATACGAAAATGTCCATTCCAGAGACTTTTTGGAGAATTCACAAATACAGGAAAGACGCACTTCTGACTATTTCGTTAACGCTGATTTCGTTGAAGAATATAGTCAAATGTCTGTATCTCATATAAATGCGTTTCAGTCAAAAACCAATAATAAATGTTAATCTTTTGCCACTTCTGAGAGATTATAGTTCTTTGGGAAATATTAGTTCCAGATCTAGAAAGACCATTTGCGTGCAACATCTACCAATAAATTGGAAATGAGCAAATTAGTTTAAGTTGATATTATTCGAAAATTAGAGAACGAAACCTGATGGTTTTCTTTTATTATTTGTCACAATATCTTGTGGAATTCTTTCGAGTATCTCGCCTATATAAACTGTATCGTTTATTATAGTGTTGTAGGGTATTCAACTGTCGGCCCCGCTCGTCTGTAGCCTTAGCTTACTTGTATTTGTTTTAAATATGCAGTAAACACTTAAATCGCATTAGAATAAACATTTTGTGATTTCTTTCTAAAATAGGACAAATATAGGCATATTTTAATCCACATCACGCTACAACCAGATTTTAGATTTTTTAAGGTCATTTAGGATTGTTAGCACTTAAAGAATCGAAATCTTTTAATTTTCCCATGTAGAGGGTATCAGCAATTCGTCCCGGCCTAACCCTTTTTATGTTGTTACATCTTTGTATTGTTGCATAGTGTATTACTTACTTGTGTGAGCAAATGAGCTGATATTTTTGCAGCTGTACACCACCACCCAGTTATCATAGTCGGTGCCCAGTATCAAATAGTTTGGTTCATTGACTTCTTCTATAAAAACAAAAATAAAATATTATCAGTGCGAGACTGTTACTTTACATGTATATGTTTGTATTGTTCATACGATTTCTAAATGCAACCGCCAACTGTCCGGGTGCGATTACTTTGGCAGTACCCTGGACGCTGCTCGATTTATTAACACTGAGGAAAAAACAACCATCTAAAGATTAAAATGTACAAATATTTCTGAACTACTTACATGACAAATGTTCCAACATTTTTAACCGCAACTGTACCATTGCCATTATTTTTATAAATGGCATATTGACATTTTTGACCCGCTTCCCAAATGAACGGATATTTAGAATATTCATACCAAATGCCCATGTACTGCAAATGAAAGTGTGTACAGATATAAGTATTACAATTACACATATATATTTTTTATTTATTTACTCTATCTAAATCAAATGTATCCACAATTTTCACATTGGGACAATTTTCTGGAAATGGCACCTGGCACACGACATTGTGACAACACCATGTCAGCAGCGATAATAAAAATGCACTAGAAAAAATATGTGCAAAAAATAAATATTATTGTAAATTATGAAAATTGATTGTAATTAGATTATTACATATTAAAGATAAATAAAAGCCTTTCAAAAAAAGCGTAGTTTTTTTAACTGGCTGAATAACAAATGGAATTACAAATATTATTTTAAAGCTATTAAAAATATTGTTAAATAATTTAATATGCACGAATCAATAATTTTTTTACACAAAATGAGAGGATTGAAATTTACTATTCATACAAAGCAATGAAATAAATAACCAGTGGAGAAAGGATAAAAATCGGGCGGGGCCGACTTTGTGATACCCCACAGAACTATGGGTACTCAGAGAGGGTATTTATATTGGGAATTTATGAATGTATGTGTATTATGGCTTCAGAGCACTTATAATTTGAAATCGAATGGAACTATTGTATGGGGGTACATTCTACTCTGAAACGATTATCACTAAATGGGAGGGAGGCACCTGTGTTTGAACCGATTTTCACGAAAATCCATCCTATTTGAGCTGATATTAAACTTTTAGCGCGCATTAAGAGTTTAATCAATCTCTACTAACTATTGTTGTAGCGGAGTGCATTTACGCATGTGGGGGATTAATACAAAATCGGGTGAAATATATATTTGACATATATCTATATCTAAACCGATTTTCATCAAATATGGCACACTTTCATCCAGACTGAATTCGGTTAATTTGACATCACGGTCCGATTTAGCGAAAATAAAATAAAACAAGTAACAAGTAAAAAAGCAGTAAGTTCGGCCGGGCCGAACTTTGAATACCCTCCACCATTTGGAACGAATTAGGACATTTTCCAAAATAAAATCCATTAAAAATTCTGTTAAAATCTCGGAAGGTGCCGATATATGGGGGGATAAACTATATTGTTGACCTATATAGACAAATCTATGTCTAGGGATATAGTACTCACATATAACTCCTTGTATAGAATTTAAGACAATTCCGTTTAAAAATGTGGCTAAAATAATCAAAATACCGAATATCGGGGGGGGGGGGTACCGTTATATGGGGGATATACGTTATCATGGACCTATATAGATAATTCTCTTTCAATGAATAAAGTGCTCACAAGGAACTCGTAGTGCGGATTTTCAGACCATTCCATTGGAAAATGTGGCTAAAATCATCAAAATCGCGAATATAGGGGGATACCGTTATATGGGGGCTATACGATATCGTGGACCTATATAGATAATTCTCCGCCAAGGGATTAAGTACTCACAAAGAACTCCTTGTGTAGAATTTCAGAAAATTCCATTGAAAAATATACCTAAAATCATCGAAATACCGAATATCGGGGGTGGCGTTATATGGGGGATATACGATATCGTGGACCTATATAGACAATTCTCATTCAGGGGGTAAAGTGCCCACAAGGAACTCCTCGTATGGATCTTTATACAATTCCATTAGTAAATGTGGCTTAAATCATCAATATACCGAATATCGGGGGTACCGTTATATGGGGGCTATACGATATCGTGGACCTATATAGATAATTCACTGCCAAGATATAAAGTGCTCTTAGAGAAATGCTTGTGTGGATTTTCATACAATTCCATTGAAAAATGTGGCTAAAATCATCAAAATACCGGATATCGGGGGTACCGTTATATGGGGGCTTCGAACTTGATTTGTCTGCAGACAAAAGAGAAATCTGGGCAAAATTTTAGCTTTCTATCTTAATTCGTTTTGCCTGTAGTGTGATTACAACAGACGGACGGACTGGGCTAAAACGTCTTAGAATTTTACCTGATCAAAAATATATATACTTTGTTGGGTCTAAAATGATTTTTTCGATGAGTTACAAACGGAATGACGAACTTAATATTCTCTCCATACTGTGTATGGTGGAGGGTATAATAAGTCAATCTATATATAAGATAATGTTATGATATTAGTTATTCCGCTTATAAGTCGAAATCCATTGGACTGATTTTCACAATTCTCTCCAATTCGAAATGGTCTCTTGCCAGAAAAGGACAAAATCTAAGAAAATCGGATAAAAATATGCCAGCAAAAAAGTAAATATTTTTTAGTTGTAATTTTATACCTTACAACATGTCTTGGGGGTAGTATATGTTTGATTGGTCCAAAAATTATGTAACACGTCGAAATGTTGGTTTCCACATAGGAAAGTGGCCGAGCCGAGCTGAGTCGATCTAGCTATGTATGTCCGTCCGTCTGTCCATGTTAATTTTTAATCACTCTACAGGTCGCAATTATGGCCCGATCTGCACAAGAATGGAGGTGAGGTTATAGCCACCAAAATTTCCATTCTACAGAAACGCTGAAAATTGCTTACAGCTGAAATTCAAAATACCCAAAAGGCGAACTTTTGACTTTTTATACTGATTTTGTTCACGAATATAGTCAAATGTCGTAGACAAGCAAATCAAATAGAAGAGTCTAATTTTGGCCTCTTGCTTTTGGAGATGATCGCAAAATATTTAGAGGTTCAAATGAACCAAAAACTGAGAAATTTTCCTGATCACACAATTGAAACCAATCGACACGGAATTTTGCATGAAAAGAGAGTCAAGGACAGGGAAGAATTCTAGCATTTTGGATGAATTATATTTAGCTGTAAAATGGATCACAACAACTAACAGCTGGGCTGAGTGCGTAAATATTGGACAAATGTCCCTGGTCAAAAATCTAAGGGTAATATCTGGGCAGTGCTCTATGACATAATTTCAAAAGCGAAACCTTCAAAATGGATTTGGACTAAGGAGGCTTCTAACATATTGTAGTGTTGTAGGGTATCACATGGTTGGCCCCCCACGACTACAGGCTTTGCTTACTTGTTTTATATTTGACTTACAATATTGAATTGCGCATTTGGTAATATTTTTATACCCTCAACCATACTATGGTGGAGGCCGTTTATGGCCGTTTGTAACTCCTCGAAATACTCATGTCAGACCCAACAAAGTATATATATTCTTGATCAGCGTAAAATTCTTAGACGATTTAGCCATGTCCGTCTGTCTGTCGTAATCACGCTATCTTTCGAACAAATTAAGATAGAAGGCTAAAATTTTGCACACATGTATATTTTGCCAGTAGGCAGGTTAAGCTTGTAAATAGGCCATGTAAGTCCAAGTTATCATATAGCCCTCATATAACGGTACCTCCCGATATTCGGTATTTTGATGATTTTAGCGACATTATTCGCCGGAATTGTTTCAAATTTGGCATTTGAAGTTCGTAATCGATACTACAGCCTAAGACCGAAAATTATCTGTGCAGGTTCACATCTTCGTGTAGCCCCCATATAACGGTACCCCCCGATATTCGGAATTTTGATGATTTTAGCGACATTGTTTACCGGAATCGTTTCAAATTCGGTATTTGAAGTTCGTAATGGATACTGCAGCATAAAACAGAAAATGGGCCATATAGGTCCACGTCTTCATATAGCCCCCATATACCGCACCCCCCGATATTCGGTATTTTGATGATTTTAGCGACATTATTTACTGGGATTGTTTCAAATTTCGCATGTGAAGTTCGTAATGGATACTTCAGCCCATGCCAGAAAATTGTCTGTGCCGGTCCACGTCTTCGTATAGCCCCTATATAACGGTCCCCCCATATTCGGTATTTTGATGATTTTAGCTGCATTATAAACAGATTTTTCTTCAAGTTTCGTATTTAAATATTGTAATAACTTATGACAAATTTGCCTATGCAGGCCCTCGTCGTCGTATAAGCATTCGGTATTTTTAAGATTTTAACAGAATTTTAACGTTTTTTTTTTTTTTTTTTGGAAATTGCCAAATTTTTACAAAATGGTGGAACCGAACCTACAGCTTTTTTACTTGTTTTGCTTTTTTTTATAGAATTTTTACAGTTTTTCGATTAATGTAATGTAACTTTTAAGCTCTTAGGGGTTCATAGACGAAAATGCAGAATTTCCCTAGCACGAATTTTATTTGGTATTTCTCGCCTACTCCGGACTAGGAAAGTATTTTTAAAATTCATAGGGGAAGTTAAATGAGGCTACAATTTTACTCATACTGATTTTATACTCACCTCTGTATTCTCCTCATGGTTGTTAGAAAATTGTAATATAGCTTCGAGATTTAGAAATTCTGCAACAATAATCGTAATTAAGATAAGATATTAAATTTGGTTCAGTTTTAATTTAGTTCTTGATAGCGCACTTAAATATCTCTATCGATTTGCTTTAGATTTATATTATAATTTTTTTCATCGTTTTATTTTTATTTATCATTCTAATATAGTTGTTTCATTGAATCAAAATATTTAGCACTTTCCTATATTAATGGAAAATTCACTTAAAACAACCACAACCACTGTGTATCGTTTTTACAATATATGATTTCAACTATTTGACAATGACTACATGTTAATTACTTTTTATTGCTCCGTAACGTTTTACCGTTCCTCTCCGTGTCACAAACTTATTACAACTGAACCAATTTTAACGATCGTAGTCATCTTTTATAGAACACGCAAATGTGAAACTGTGTTATCTGTATCTCAATAGGTGCACTCATTTTGTTGCTCTCACGTAAAATAGGTTCATCTCATATTAACAGAATCAGATTTTTTGAGGCATAAGGCAGTGCAACACCTAGCTTTTTTGCTCTCTCAGGGAAATATTTTGAGAAAATTAGAATTAATTAGCTTTGTGTGAAAAGTAAAACCAACAAATAAAAGGAATACTGTCGGTTGGTACTGATTTAAAACACAAAGCCGAAATAAAACACTTCTATGCTTTTGTTTTTGGTGTACACATGGCGATCTAATTTTTAATGTTCCTAATTTCATAAGTCTCATTAATTGCAGTGGCATTTATAGTTACGTTTACCAATTGGTACAAATGTAAAACTGAAAGGACCCACAATATAACATACCGATCTCGACTTCTTCGAGTTGAGTCGAACTAGTTATGTGTGTCCGTCTAATCATGTTAATTTGTAATCAAACTACAATCCCCATCGTTGCGAAATTTTGCACTGGTTCAGAGTTAGGACCAGAATAAAAACCTATATTTTTGGAGTTGATGTCACAATATTTAGGGAATAAAATAATATATTTTTTTTTGATTTTGCAACATAAATTTTCCAAATTATATTGAAATCGGTTCAAATCGGCCCATATATATTTTCGGCTGATTTCACATATTTGATGCATCCAACGCGATATGTATGTCCGATTCCGATTTGCGAAATTATTTTGAAAATGGTTGAGGTTTGGGTATGCCTCCCATATACATTTTTCTGCCGATCTCATGTATGTTATGTACAAAACGTGATATGTATGTCCGATTCCAATGAAATTCAGAATTTGTAGCGGAATTTGATTACAATAATAAATTTGTCAAATTAATTAGAAATCGATTCAGATTTGTATATAGCTCCCATATATATCTCGGCCGATTTCACGTGTTTGATGCACCAAGGTATGTGCATCCAATCTCAATGAAATATGTAAGGTGTGACGGAATTTGGTGTAAAATTGAAATATTGAAATCGTTTCTGATTGGGATATGATCTTATTAAGAAGCATTGATCCACAACGCCATTGCAATGGTATAAGGCTAACAGTAAACAAGTAAAAAAACATTAAGTTCGGACGGGCCAAACTTTTAATACCCTCCACTTTAGGGTAAAGGAAACATTAGAAGAAATGTGGCAAAAATCATCAAATTACCGAATATCGGGAGGTACCGTTATATGGGGGCTATACCAAAACGTGGACCTACACATGCAATGTTTCACCAAAGGAGCTAGAACCCATTACTAATTTTCAGAATAACCCGTGAAAAAATGTGGAAAAAATCATCAAATTACCGAATATCGGGAGGTACCGTTATATGGGGGCTATACCAAAACGTGGACCTATAATTTCAATGACTCGCCACACGAACTGGGACCCATTATGATCTACAACTACCAATTTTTAGACATATCCGTGAAAAAATGTGGTAAAAACCATCAAAATACCGAATATCGGGAGGTACCGTTATATGGGGGCTGTACCAAATCGTGGACCCATACATGCAATGTTTCGCCACCGGAGCTGGAACCCATTATGACCAACAAATAACAATTTTTAGACAAATCCGTGAAAAAATGTGGCAAAAATAATCAAAATACCGAATATCGGGGGCTATACCAAAACGTGGACCTATACATGCAATGTTTTGCCACACGCACGGGGACTCGTTATGACCTACAAATACCAATTTTCAGACAAATCCGTGAAAAAATGTGGCATAAATCATCAAAATACCCAATATCGGGAGGTACCGTTATATGGGGACTATACCAGAACGTGGACCGATATATCTCATTTTCAATACCAACAATCCTAGACACAATAAAAATTGCTCTGCTAAATTTTGGCGCTCTACGTCAAATAATGTGGGCTGTTTTTAACAGACAGACAGATGGACGTCGTTAAATCGACTTAGAACTTTATGCTGATTATGAATATATATACTTTATGGGGTCTACGACGAATATTTAAGGATGTTACAAGTGGAATGACAAAGTTAATATAACATCCTTTCCAAGGTGTAAGTTATACAAACAACACAACAATTTAATTGAGGTTACGATTATTACGGGAAAGTATATTTCTACCTCGAATTTTCTAATTGCAACAGAAATGCCACTCAACTTCAAAAGATTGCAGTTTCCTGTACGATTGGCATTTGTTATGAAACTAATAAATGCGAAGGAAAACCAGTAAGGAAAGCTCAAAAGTCGGGCGGGGCCGACTATATGATACCCTACACCACTATGCATATTTAGTAGAGCTCTCGTAAAAAGGTTTATATAGGGCATTTCAGAGCTCTATGAGAAATTTGGTACAAAATCAAAATCTATCTAATTCTATCGTGCATTTTACGAACTATAGCTATCTCTGAACCGGGTTTCTCCAAATTTTACGTATTATCTTCTAGACTGGTGATTTGGGCTGATATTGACCATTTAGTGCACATTTAACCCGAAATCGGATGAAGATATATATGAGAGCTATATCCAAATCTGAACCGATTTCGATAAAATTTAAAACAGCTATTCCTGTGCTCCATCTAATACCTGGTACCAAATATCACGGTTGTGGAGTGAATATTACGAATGTATGGTACTAAAACTCTAAATCGGATGAAACATATATATGATTGCTATATCTATATCTGAACCGATTTTCACTAAATTTGATATACTTGCTTCTAGGCTGAATTTGGTCCGATGTACTAAAATTCAGCCCATTTGGACTTATATCGGCCATTTGGTGCACAATTAACCCGAAATCGGATGAAGATATATGGGAGCTATATCCAAATCTGAACCGATTTCGATAAAATTACAAACAGCTATTTCTGGGCTGTATCTTATATCTGGTACCAAATATCATTCTTGTGGAGTGCATATTACGAATGTGAGAGGCTTAAACACCAAATCGGATGAAAGATATATATGGGAGATATAGCTATATCTGAACCGATTTTCTCCAAATTTGATATACTTGCTTCTAGGCCGAACTCGGTTGGGTTTGCCGAAATTCAGGTAATTTGGACTGATAGTGGACATTTGGTGCACATTTAACCCGAAATCGGATGAATATATATATGGGAGCTATAGCTGTTTCTGAACCGATTTTCTCCAAATTTGTTGTATTTGCTTTAAGGCTAATCTCGGTCACATGTGCCAAAATTCGGGCCATTTGGGCTGATATTGGCCATTTGGTGGTCAATTAACCCGAAATCGGATGAAGATATATGGGAGCTATATCCAAATCTGAACCGATTTCGATAAAATTTAAAACAGCTATTTCTGTGCTCCATCTAATACCTGGTACCAAATATCACGGTTGTGGAGTGCATAGTAGGAATATGAGGGACTTAAAGATCAAATCGGATGAAAGATATATATGGGAGCTATAGCTATATCTGAACCGATTTTCTCCAAATTTGATATACTTGCTTCTAGGCCGAACACGGTTGGGTGTGCCAAAATTCAGGTAATTTGGACTGATAGTGGATATTTGGTGCACATTTAACCCGAAATCGGATGAAGATATATATGGGAGCTATATCTAAATTTGATCCGATTCTCACCAATTTCAATAGGGTTCGTCCTTGGGCCAAAAAAAATATTGTTTGGAAAATTTCATCTCAATCGGATAATAAATGCGACCTGCATTTTGTTCACAAGAATACATGGACAGCAACGGACGGACGGACGGACGGACAGACGGACTGACATGCATAAATCGACTCAGAAAGTGATTCTATGAAGGTTCTCAAAAGTAACTATGGGTCTATCTCGTTTCCTTCTCCATGTTACAAACAAATGCACAAAGACATAATACCCTTACCACTATGTGGTGTAGGGTATAAAAACTAACAAATATTCATATATAAAATTTTGAATGCACACAAAGCAAAAGGAGTAGCGAAGCGCACCTTCACCAATGGTCGAAAATTTTGAAAAATCCTAAATCACATAAATTCGATCACATCACCTAAAATATCTGCTTAAACTGTTATGATATGATGTGTATATTTTGACATTATACTCGTCGATGTTGACTTAGTAAATAATGCATTTAAAAACAATTCGATACTGTATCGCCCAAATGTAATAAATAATACCTATATTTAAATTTTAAAACATTTTTTTAAATATGTCCCATTTCAATCATACCCAGATAAGGTTTGTTTTTATTAAATTAATTGTGCTTAATAAATTAATGAAACGGTGACATTACTTCTGGCTACTGAAGCAGATGCTGAGATAACGTTTCCCTCTGTAATATGATAATAATGAGGTTGTCATGTTGAAAAAGACCACAAAAGCTGATACTTTCTCCACGTTATAATTCTTATCAGTTTGATGTATCAATTATTCTTGTTGTTCATGGTGAGCTGGGTGTGTTTATAGCGTTTAAATAACACTGCGCTACCAAATATATGCGGTGAACATATATTTGTTTTGCTATTCAAATTATAATCTCTAGTGAGCATAAGAAGCAAGTTAAGCGTATACAAATCTAAATTGATTATAATAAGAAAATAAAGCGTTTAACAAAAAATGGGCGAAAAACTCTTTCTTAAATGCTTGTTATAACCTACAACACTATGTGTATTGGTTTCCCACATAGGAAAGTATATATGGATCTTCCTATCTCGCCGAGCTGAATCGATCTAGCTATTTGTAATCACTCTACAGGTCGCAATTATGGTCCGATCTTCACAAAATTTAGAATGGAGGTGGGGCTAGGGACAGAATAGAACCCTATTCCTTTTGGAGATTATTGCATAATATTTAGGGGTTGAAATGGACCAAAAACTGAAAAAATGCCTGATTTTTCAGTTGCTCTATAGGTCGCAATTATAGACCAATCAAAGCGGAAGTTAGCATGTGGCTAGAGCTTAGGGCTGGACAGAAGCCTTCCAATTTTGATGATCATCGGGTAATATTTAGTGGGTGA